CCTCACCCGTCCCCCCGCCCAACCCAGCCTGTCTGTGTGCGGAGCTAAGACTTGCAGAGCTTAAAATGTTTCCTAGCCAGCCAGCCTGCCTGCTTGCCTGGCCATCTACTTCATTGAATAACTGAGCCGAGGAGGGGGGGTGTGGTTCTTCGTGGCTGCCTGTTACTCAAAGAAGCAGCTCCCATTGGCTGGTTTCTGGCCAGAAACTGCTTCATTGAATAACTGAGCCGCGGAGAGGGGGCCTGACCTATCTGGTTTGATTCCTGGCAATTTTATAGTATTGAAGTTAACAAGATCCTAACATATCTCCCGTGTTTCATGCAGCACCACACAAATAACCTGGGGTAAGTGACTGGTCTTTGGGACTGGGCACAACCTGGGCAGGGTCACGTGACCCCAGCTGGCTACCACACAGGGCCCTTGGCGTGTTACCCACACGCGTGGGTGAAGACATATGACATGCGCCTGACCCTGGGATGGGACACAGCAGGATGCCCTCCCTCCACAAGCCCCCTCTACACTGAGGCAGGGGACATCTCCCCCTCCACACACACACACAACCACACTATATACAGCACAGGGGCATGGGTGCAGTCCCGGGCCAGCTCCCACTTCCAGGGATAGAAGGACATCCTGAACATGGCCTGCGTGCAAAGCACATCGGCTCTGATGGTGCGGAGAACTGTCGTCCTCGCCTTGCAGAGCGGGGCTGGGCTTCACTCACTGCGTCCCTAGGGATAACTGGCCACTCCTCTTGTTTCTTCACAGCCGCACCAGCTATGAGTGCAGGGTGCACCACCCCATGTGGGACATCTTCCCACACCTGGGCACTCTGCACCTGACCTGTAACAAAGAGGACTACCAGCGGCAGCACTTGGGGGTGCTGCGAGCCCTGTACTGCACCCTGGACTACTGGGTGCACAGAGACCTGCAGCTCAGGTGGGAGAGCTGGCAGGAGCAGCTTGCCCAGGGCCGTGCCATCTGTGAACACCTGCAGACCCTGGTGCAGAGATTGCTGCCTCCTGCCGCTCCAGCCCCTGCTGACTCCCCAGCTACCGCTCCTCCTCCCACTTCTTCCTCCACACCTTCCACCCCCCTCCCCCCGGGAACGCCAAGGCTCCCGCACCTGCGGTGCTGGGAGACAGTTGGGCCGGTGAGACCCCAACCCTGAGCTTCTCCTCCCCCTTCCAGCTCCCTCCTCCCAGGTTTACCCCTCCTCTCTCCTCTCCTGCCTTCTTTCCCCAGTCTCAGCTGAGTTTCTTTCCCCCTGCTACCCCATTTTTGTTCAATAAAGAGAGTTTGTTTTCTTGAACACGTGTCTTGTATTGTACATCTGGAAAGGGGGTGAGGGAGGAGTCAGTGGAAGGACATGTGGGAGGGATGAGGCTCAAGCCCCCAGGGGGCACCTCATAGAGACTGTTTGTGCCCCTCCTGTGCTGGTGCAGGGAGGTCGCCGTGCACTTCTGGGGCAGACGCCCCCTCCCACAGCGTGCCCGGCAGAGCAGCCAGCGCACTTCTGGAACCCCCGGAAATGGCGCTAAGCTGCGGGACTTCCATTTTTGCTGGAGGGAGGTAGTGGGGCTTCTCAGAGGTGGGGGGAAAATAGGGGATAGGGCCGGACGCCTCACGATCAACTCGTCAAGGCCTCGCGATCAACCTGTTGGTGACCATGGATGTAGAGGGAGGCCTGGGATGTATGTCCCGTTGATAGCCCCCCCGCAGCTGGGGAAACCCAGGGCACCAAACTCCTCGATGACCGCGTTGACATCGGCAAGGTGGATGACTCTGCAGAGCAGCATTTTTGTTGATGGCCTCGACCACCTGCAGAGGGGGACACAAAACCGAGAGTCACTGAAGTGCCAGGGTGGCTGAGTGCTCCTTCCCCGCCACTGCCCCATGCCCCCACCACCCAGGAGCCAACCC